CCCCCCCCAACCCCCGCCACGCCTTGTCCCTGGCCCCGCCTCCCTCCCGAATGACGTCGAGCTGGGCCCGCTGGAGCCCTCTGAACGCAGCGCGCCCCAGGGGGAAAGAGACTCGCCCGCGCCGGCGGCGGAGTGCGGGGTCCGGTGACAAAAACCCAGGGGAGGGACGACGGATGCGGGGAAGGGGGAGGAACAGAAACAGGAAAGACAGAAGTGGAGACAGGGACACAGAGAGAAACCCGGGGAGAGGCACTGATTTCTCCCCCCAACACACACACCCTCCGCGGCTCCACGCTGGGCTCCCGACCCCTCCTCCTCTCCTCTCCCCTCGCCAATCTCTTCCCTGGGTCCAGACTCTGAGCCTGTCCGGGCGGTGTCCTCTCCCACTATGTCTCGGACCTCAGGTCCCAAACAAGTGCATGCGGAGAGTAGGGAGGCAAGGGGGTAACCAGGGGACCCTCTCCTGGCTCTGGAAGAGCCCCCAGAGCCAGCCCGTGCCCACCTCTGGGCTGTCAACCTCGGTTTCCAAGCTAAACGGACACTGGGAAGCCAGACCGGATGTGTCTCCGGGCTCCTCGCCCGCAAGCTTCTAGCCCCCCGCATCCCACCCCGAGTCTGGCCAGGAAGAGAAAGTGCATTTGCCCTCTGTGCCCGGTGCACCCGGTAACATCGCCGAGCCTCCTGGCAAGGCAACCCCCAGATGGCAGCGCTGGCCCCATTTCACAGGCCTTTACACTGAGGCTTAGCAGAATCGAACACGTGTCCCCAGATCGCGGTTGGATGGCAGGTTGGCCTCACTCGTCCAAAGCCTGACTGCAGACTGAGGTCCGCCAAGGTAGTGGGAGGAACTTCACGTTTATTGAGAACTGCATGCCCTATCAGAGGTCTCCACGGCAACCCTGGAGGGCAGGGATGATTTTTATCGCTGTCCTGGGACGGACGAGGGGAAGTTAGACTGCGGAGAGCCCGCTAGGAACCCCAGACCTGGCCTGCCGGGTGGCCAAGGGAGATTCGAACCCACCGCCGCTGGCGCGCACTTACCCAGCCCACGCCTGGCGGCCAAAATCCTGATGGCTGCGGAGAAGCCGAAGACGCCGGCGGAAAGTTGGGGACGGGTTGGCAAAGAAGACGGGCGACGAGGGCGGCGAACGCGGGCGGCGGGGTGCGCGCGGGGCCGGGGGCTCAGGCAGGAACGCCTCGTCCTCGGCCGCCGCCACCGCCGGGAAGGCCGCCAGCTGCAGCTCGGGGATGCGGCCCAGGCCTTGCGGCCGCGCCATAACCACAGGGGGCGCGGGGCAGCCCCGCCTCAGCGGGCGCTGGGGAGCAGCGCCGCCCGCCTGCCCCGGGCAGCCCACGCAGGCCGGCCGCCCAGCCCTGGGGCCCACGGGCCCCACCCCGCCGGGCCGCCTCGGCCCTTCCGGCTTCGCTCTGGGGCCGCCCCTGGGGCGGGGCGGGCCTGGGGCGCCCACACGGCTGCCGAGGGACACCCCTCAGACCGCAGGGCCCTCCCCGCAGTCCCCTTAAGGTGCTTACAGTCGCCGGAAGCGCCTCTACAAACATCGGGGGTGCCCCCCCCGCAAATCCCTGGAGTGTTCTCACAAACCGCTGTGGCCCTCACTAACCTCAGGGGCATCCCCAAGGTCTTTCAGATGTCTCCAAAATTCCAGAGAATGTCCCAACCATCCCTGAGTTGTCCTCACACAATCCAGAGGTACCCCCAAATCCCTGAGTGCCCCCCCAAAAGCCAGAGATGCGCTGAGAGGCCCCATACACCCTGGGAGAATCCCATAGCTTCCCAAATGTCCCTTACTGATGTCCTCATTGTTACTGATATATCCCCACAAACTCCAGGGGCACCCTAAGAATCTCAGAACACACCCACAAATGAAACTCCTTCAGATCCCAGGACCATCACCAGGTTTCCTCAGAAGTCTCCAAAATCTCTTAGAGCACCCCCACCATCCCTGAGTCATGCAGAGGCCCCCAGAGTACCCCTAGAATTTCCCACAGCCACCGAGCATTCCCACAGTCTGCATGAGGGCCCCCCAAATTCTGAGGTCCCTCACAGACCCTAAGATGGCTTCCACAGTCTCTCGGATGTCCCCCTCAATCCCTGAGTGGCTCGGCAGCATCCCGGAGATGCCCCCACAAGTTCAGAGACACCAAAATAACCTCAGGGGTGTCTTCAGACTCAAAGAGTGCTCCCATATAACCATGTAGCTGCCATCAAAATCCATAGACCCCAGGGCCACAACCAGATCCCTCCATAGTTCCTAAGACAGTCCTATATCCCTAGGCTATCTCCCCAAACCAAGATAAACCCACAATCCTTGGGGACACCTCCAGAATGCCCCCCACAGCTTCTGAGACACAGAAGCTGAGTGAGTTTACAAGCCCCTAGAGGCTCCTAAGATCTGCCGCCCCCCCACCCCGTCCTCCCACCCCTTCGGATCTCTGAGGCCCCTTAGAACTGGGGCCCTCCACAGCTCACGAGGTGCCCCAAGAAGCCGAACCTCCCCTCGGCAGAGCAGTACAAACAGATAGGAACTTTCTGGAGTCCCTTCGGTGGCTCTGCCTGCCCAACCACTGTGACTCTGTTGGGCACATGTTCGCCCCTTTCACAAATGAGGAAATGGAGACTGAAGTGAAGATTCTTGAACAAAGTTAGCCAGCTGGTTATAATTCCAGAGACTCCCCCAACCTGTCTGCGGCCCTTTGGGGTTAGGGAAGTGGGAAAGAAAAACAGAACGAATCTCTATTTTAGGGCCATGCCTCTATGAATACCTTTCTCTCTCTACCTTTTGGCTCTGTTGTCATGGGCCCCAGAACTGGCTGACCTAGGCTTGAGTCTGGCCTCTGGCACTTAGTCATTTGACTTTGGGCCAGCCACTTCATTTCACTGAGCCTCAGTTTTCCCAACTGTAAATTGGCATAATAATACTATGCATCTCATGGATGTACAATTAAAAAAAAAAAAAAAGCCTC